CCTTTTCTGAGTGGAGGCACGTGTGAAAAGGGATAAATTATTTGCCTGGGGATGTGGGGTTGACCTGTCAGCAGTGTGACTCTGGGTAAGGCAATTTTCAAGACTCAACTTCCTCTTCTGTAAAGTGGGGACATGAACTAGGAGTCTCTAAGAGTCTTCAGGCTCTGGTTGACTGTGGTTCTACAAGGGGCCCCTCTTGGTCCTACCACTAATGGCCCAGTGACTTTGAGAACATTGCTCACCTTCTCTGTCTAGCAGAAATGGAAACCTAAGCCTGCTTCAGGCCTTGGTATCAAGAGAGCCTAATAAGGGTCAGTTGTGACTCTTGCCAGGCAATAAGGAATGCCCCAGGGAAATGGACAGTCTGAAGCTTTGCAGTGGCCCCACAACTGCAGGAAGCCCATGCCCTCTCCAGTTGGATGCCACAGGGCAGTGGTTCCCACATGCCTGTGCCACAGAACTTCAGCCTCAGCTCAGGTAGGACCAAGTTACAGTGTCATTGGTCTGAAGTTACACATCACCCAGCCAGGTGGCAGGATGTCCAGACAACCTCCTGGCCAGACCGTCCCCAGGTCACCACAGAGGACCTGGGGTGGAGGAAGTGCTGGGCAGCCCGTGAGCGTTGCTCTTCACTCCTGGCCTTTTATCTTGGAGGACTGGAAGACAAGGTCACTTGCAAGTCAAACAAGAGCTAATTGGGCCTTGTGCCTACACGTGGGCACAAGAGAAATAGCATTTCCTGATCCAGCCTTTGCTGATTAGGCAGCACAGACCATGTGCTTCCAGCCTTGCTTGCTGTTGGTGACTTTGCTCAAGGCCGAGGAGGGGCAAGCCACGGCAAGGCCACACATGATGTTATCCTTATGAATCTTGGACTGAAAATGGAGCCTTCTTTGCCTGACGGCCTACAGCTTGAACTCGGCCTGAATCGGCACAGGATTCTAGAACCTTCCAGGGGAGCCTTGTGCAGACCGCCCAGGCTCAGTATACATTTCCATCCTCTCTTCTCCCTTCTTGGAGGTGAAAGTGGAGAACTCTGAGCCTCAGGAGCTGAGAAAGGCCAAGTCAGGAGGAAAAGTCAAGCAGAGTCAGAGGCAAAAGGGTCTGTGGTTTGGGGTGACAGGAGGAGGAGGAAGGGATTGCTTATGTGTTCTTTTCTGGGGAAGATGAGCTTTAGATTCTCTGGCCAGGGTGTCCACTTGAGAGTCCTTATGGAGTGACCTTGGCCATGATCATCAGGGAAAGACCTCAGGGAGGATGTGACTTTGCTTTTGGAAATTATTTCAAATATCTCTTTCTGTAAAGATGGCTTTTCTTTATGAAAATGAATTCACTAGTTTTTAAGTCTTTTAAAATAATTATTAATTAAGACATACTCGGTATTAAAAAACATAGGAAATTCACCATTCATAACTGGAAGAATGTGCTTGAAGGGTCATAATTTGTATTTTCCCAACTGGCCTCACTGACTTCTGGAAAGACCTGGTATTTACAATGGACCATCTTCACAGGGGCTTGATTCCTAGTTGAAATTGTTTGCAAAGGAGGAAGAAACTGTATCCCCTGCAGTGTAGATTTCCAGGTGACCGTGGAGAGTGGGAACAAGACTGTACACAGGCCCAAATCCAGACAATTAGGGCAAGATGGATGGATTGTGGGCATGGGAGGTTAATCAGAGAAACTTCCAGAAGCGCCAGGACCCGGAATCAGATACCCGCATTCATACAAATGTTTCCTGCAGCCTTGGCATGTGCCGCTGGCAGTGTCCCTGAATATATGTGGTCAGCTCAGGCCCCTGTGAGGAAAGAGCAGGGGTCTGGGGCCCTCACTGACCTGCCTCAGAGCAGCTCTCGGGTCTGACCTCTGCTAGTGAAGTGTCAGTGGCTGTATCACCTGAAGGTCTGGTCCCCAGTGTCCCTGTCCTTGGGGTGTGCCAGCCAAATTCATGAATAAGATTGAAATCTAAGTGCTGCTCCTTGGAACATTAGCCCATGGAATCTGAGGCAGTCGGAGATAAAAGGGCCCTCAGAGATCAGAAGCCCTGCCCCTGACAAACTGCGGACCTCTGTTCCCTCTCTGTTAAAATGCTGGCAATGTTGTCCCTGCACTGTCAGGGAGAAGGAGCTGAGGTAAAGAATGTGAGAGGGCTTTGCAGCCTGTGCTGTGCTGTGGTACGTGAGGAGCAGGTGGCACCACGTGGGCAGGCCTCGTGTGAGCCCTCATCCTTTCCACCTCCCTAAATCATTCTCTACCCCAAGGCGTCATGATGGCTCCACGAGAACCAGCTGGCATGAAGGCCGGAGAAACCCGCCATTCCCCTAAGCGACCACTCTGTTTTTCTGGGTTCATTTTGGGATAATAGGAATGCTTTGAACAGGGCACTCTGGAAATCATTTTGTGCTTAGAGAATCACTGGTTCCTTTTCAGGCTGTGTTTCTGCCTCAGCAGACACACTGCGCACCTTGCATTTCCAATTTCCTGTTCCTCCTTTGCTTCTCCTTATAAATCATAATGCGCTGATGCCCTGGACCAGGCTCTTCCTGGCTCTTTATTATAAAATGCCTCTTCGTCCTGATTGGGTGGCAGTGCTGGGCATTATGTTCCCAAAGAGCCAGCTGGGTTATGGTCTCCCGGGAGGATGTCTGTCCTCTTCTCTCTGCCTCTGGCCCCATCTCCTGAGCCAGCGAGCTCTTGCAGCAGACAGGGAAGATCTAGGGAGCCTGCCTGCTGTGGTTGGTAAGGGTGCTGGGGCTGTGGACCGCCTCTGTGCTCCCCAGCCTGCTGAAGACATGAGTGTCCTCTTTGTGGTTCCTTGCTCCTCTCTCTACCCTGCAATAGATCTGGCAGCGGCAGATTCAGTGCCCAGGGGAGCTGTAGGCTCAGCAGCAGCAACTCTGTGTCCTCACACTGTTCTGCTCTCTGCTTCCAATGTTGAAGCCTGGGTGGTCTGGCCTGCATCTATCTTCCATCATTCCTTGTCAGTCCCTTTTTCTTTCCTGCAACCCCACTGTTCCCTGCGCCCTGCCAGGAGCTGAGGAAGAGAGGCCATGGCAGTCCTGGGGAGGCTGCACAGACTGCACCACCAGCCAGGCCGAGCGCTCCCTCTTCTGGGTCCTCTGGGGAGTCGACACTGGCCAGGGGGCTTGATGGAGTGTGAGTGGTCCAGGACCTCCGCAGAGCTTCTCTTTTTCTCCCTTCCTTGGGTCTCTCCTCCTTCCTGGTAAATGTTTCTGCTCTCACCCCTCGAAGGTGAACCAAGGCCTGACGTGAAGCATCCATTGCCTCTAGTCAGAGAGTCCCTCCTCTGCCACATTGTGGTGGCCCAGATCTGTCTGGTGGGATTTTAGCTGGCTTGTAACCTGATCCTGAAATTAACCACTTGGAAGAAAGAGGTAAAATGAACAAGCAGTTGCCACTCACTGCATCCCACCCCTGGCCGATCCCATCACTGCAGGCTTTTGTGGCTAGAAAGATGACAGCATCTCACTTTCCTTCAGAAGCTTATTTTTGCCAGGTTTGTTATCATCAAGCAGGCGCCGGAGCTCTGTTCCACTCACGGTCCAATTACGGCAAAACTCAAACAACGAACCTGTGTATTCCACTTGTAAGAACGTCCAAAGGGAATGCTTTTCCCCTCGGTGGGATCAAACTCTCGGCGCCCTTTGTGATACACGAGACCTCAACGAAGGCTCTCTATTCGCCAACATGGAGAAATGTGTTGGAGCTGGAAAATGGACCCACTGGGGCCACCCTGGGCCAGGTCTCTGATTTTATTTCCACTGTGCCTTTCCCTGCACCACACAGATCCTATCCTGTGACTGCACAGGGAAGCATCCCTGCCAGGGACCAGGGCAGTGGCATCTCCAGGCTGGGCAGCGAGTCGGTGCTGCCCTGAGGCACTCCCCATGCAGGGGCCCCTCCCAGCCCTGCCCCTTGCCCATGACAATCGGCCTCCATTTTTCCTCCCTCCTCCAAGTCGAGGTACTTCTGCTGTGACCTCATCTCTGTGGATGTGGGCTCGGGCTCTCTCTGCCCCTCCTCCTGCCCATCCCTTACAGCACACGCAAGACCTTGATATTAAGGAGGTTGGAGAACAGTGACCAGTGCTCCAACCATGCCACTCCCTGTGGGGAGAGGCTTTTAGATCTTTCTTCGCTTCTCCAAATGTAAGCATTTGGATAGAGGACCTAGAGCAGTTTCTCTAGCTGTAACAGCCCATGCACTCTGAACCTAGATTGGATTTCTAAATCTGCCTAGAGAGCAATTGAAACTGAGGTGACATTCCCACTAACATGCCACAATCATCCCAGACTTTTCTACAGCTGCTTTTCTCTAGCCCATGGTGTGTGCCCTGAGCCATCCCAATCCCTCAGCCCCTGCCCTGCTTTCAGAAATGCTAGACTTGGAGTCTCAGTGAATAAGCCTTGTTCTAAAGCAGAAAATGGTTTTGTTTCAGCCTGGGTTCAGCTCCTCTGTCTGATCACAGACAAGGACAAGGGTTAGTCCCTGCTTCTGCTTCTTACTAGCTGTGCGACTTTGGGGGAGTTAGGTGGCCTCCCTGTGTGTCAGTTTCCTCAGCTGTGAAATGATGCATCATCTCTTAGAGCACCCATCTCTTAGGGCTGCTGTAAGGAGTTACTGAGCCAATCTGGCACAGTACCTGGTACACCCTAAGTCTGTACAAAAGGCAGCTATGACGAGGACGATGGCAGTGATGATGATGATGATGATGTCATTATCATCGTTATCCCGAGGTAGCAGAGGATGGTGGAAAGGACATGGGGCTTGGATTCTGAGTCCTGGGTTCAGGTTCCAGCTCTGCCACTTGCTGGTGGTATGATGTAGATTCTGAACCTCAGAATGTTTTGGTTTCCATAGCTGTAAAATGGAGGTGGAAATGGTCTCTCTCTCCAGGGGGGTCATGAAGACCCAGGGAAGCGGGACTGGCAAGCTGCTTCCCCTCACACACCAGGCTAAACCTGCTCTCTCTCCCTTCACAGGCACACATTCTGGCAGTTCCGCCATGAGAACCCCAAGACCAGGGTTGGGGGCCCTCCACCCGAGGGGCTGCCTGGCTTCAACAGTGGGGTGATGCTCCTGAACCTGGAGGCCATGCGCCAGTCCCCACTCTACAGCCGCCTGCTGGAGCCAGCACAGGTGCAGCAGCTCACCGACAAGTATCACTTCCGTGGCCACCTTGGGGACCAGGATTTCTTCACTATGATTGGCATGGAGCACCCCGAGCTCTTCCACGTGCTGGACTGTACCTGGAACCGGCAGCTCTGCACCTGGTGGAGGGACCATGGCTATAGTGACGTCTTCGAGGCCTACTTCCGGTGCGAGGGACATGTTAAGATCTATCATGGGAACTGCAACACTCCCATCCCAGAGGACTAGGCCCCTTCTCTCCTGCATCCCCTCAGGGCTTCTGGATCTGGGGGAAGGAAAGGAGCGCCTCTGGGACAGGCCCCAGGGCGGTGTCTGATCTCCTAGAGATACACTGCAGGGACAGTCTTTGTGACAAGGTGCTGCAGATCTCCCACCCAGCAGGTCACTGTCCTGAGGCCACCCAGTGAGGACTGGCCTGTTCATTGCTGGTGCTCAGGACCTGTTTCCTCCAGGGGGCCTTCAGCCCTCCAAGGAAAGGAGATCCTTTATAGGTACTGTCTTTTCTTGGACCAAATGTAAATTTCACTTAAATGGACAGACTTCCATTTTGCAGGAAAGAACAAACAGTACCACTGTAGCTCCCAGTGAGCTCTAAACGAGTGAACCGGGGCTTTAACAACCAGCCCAGAGGTGAAGCATTCACAGGAATGTCGACCTTCCATGTACTTGCCCTCGGAGGCTGTGTGTGAATTCTCATAATGCTCACTCACAGCGTTTGGTGCAGGTTTAAAGATCGCCACCTCTGGGGACAGGCTTCAGGGCCAGCTGGGGCCTGCGTAAGAAAACTAGCCTCATTGTTGTACCATTCACAGCTTTTATCTCCTGGCTCCATTGCAGAGGCGCATTATTCCTTATTCATCAAGTCCAGCTCCTGGTGACCAGACAATACTTGGCAATCAAGGCCACCATTAAAGAACAGAGACTGGTCACCCTGAAAGACATGCGGTAGAGTTGTCTGGATTGAGAAGATTCATTCCAAAGAGGAGCCCAACAGTTCATGAGTGTAACCATGTGGGCTTCAAAGGGGTTTCATTCAGAGGCTTACAAGCATTCTTGTTTCTTTGTTTAAAAAACCATCCTCATTACTTTCTTATTGCACCCTGGCAGACCCTATACCTTAGTAGAAATTAAGGTGTCACTTCTTTATTTCTTCTTCTGATGTGTCTCCTGTAAGCCAGCTGCAAACACAGAATCCCTAGTGGTCCATTTTGTATAGTCCAGCTGAAGCTCTTGGGGGAGAAATGTTGTGGGATTTTCATCTTATTTTATTTCAATGTCATTTACTTTTTTATTTCTTTTCACCATGAGTGAGCCTAGCTAATAAATAGTCTTTAAGAACACAATGATTCATCCTGTTTTTCTCCAATCACAGTTTTCAGCTACATGAAGGTTTTGAATCAAGAGTGTCATCAATGTCCTTCAACACCCCACTCGCCCCCCATGATTAAGCTAAGTGTGCTCATAGCCGGTTTCTAAGGAGCAAAGGGAGGGCATTTATGAGAGGGAGGCATCGTTGTATTCAGTTCAAAGTGAAGAATCATTTCATTCTCGGGACTGGCAGGTCCATCTGCTCCTGGGAACAAAAACAACCCATCCCTTCCCATCCTTCTTCTCCCACACTGCCCGATCACATCACTCCCTGATGGAGCAGAGTACATTTCTCTCCTAACCCTCTCCTGGCACAGTTGATCTGTTCTCTTAGTTACTTGATTTCTGATTTATGGCTACCAATGATTAAATGCCTGCTCTGTGCCAAGCATTGTATGCTATACAATATATAGCTATCGATAGTACTCATGAAAACGTCATGAAAGTCATTCCATTTTTAAAGTTCATTGTAACAAAATATGAGAGATGTGAACAGAGAGTCATACACTAACTACATCGTTTATTGCAGCATTTTTTTTGAAATAGAAAAAAATTGGAAGCAACATAAAATGTTGAATAGGGAAGTGGATAAATAATGTATGCTACATTCATGTAATAGAATACTTTGGGAGCTAAAATCTTATTTTTGAAGAATATTTAATTCCCCTGGAAATGCTTAGTAATGTGCCATTAAGTAAAGAATGCAAAATATAAGTTTATATGTACAGTATGATACTAATTTTATTTTTTAAATTACATATATGTGTGTATGTATATAAATATATGTGTGTGTATTTATGTGTATATATAGAAATATATATACGTACACATATGTATAAAAAGAGAGAGTGCCTATTCTGCTATATTTCATTAGTTCAACTCCTAAAAAATACCCATGTGTTTCAAATACTGTATTAAAAAAAAAAATTGTTTCAGTGGGGGAAAAAATGGGTTAAAGACCACAGAATTTTAGACTCAAAGTGACAAAGGTATTTTTCCTGCAGTAATTTAAAAAATTAAAAGCTATGAGTGTATTTTGTTATTGCAAGGAGAAAACATTAAGCTGGTTGGTCCAAATGGGCAAAAGCCAAATATTGCCTCATTTACTTTTGTGTTCTCCTACTCAGGAGCTTCCCCTCCTCTGTCACCAGTGGCCTTGACCTTACAGCCCCCACTGTGTACAGCAAAATAACATGCAACAGGAAATCCAGCCAGACCGACAAAGCAGCAGTGTGATCCTGTGATTAACTGTGAGCAGCTTTTTGACACATCTTGGATTCCTGGCTCCTGGTTGGGGTCCTGTTATAATCAATGTAATGCAGACATAATAAATTGTGCCGTGCTTAATTTGCTTCATGAAAACTTTCCCCATCAAGTATATGCCTGTACATTTGAGTGGAACAGAAATCTGAAAAGGTTACATTTCTGGGCACTAGGATTCAAGTGTTTTTTATCTTCATCTACATTTACTTCTATATTTTCCACATTTTCTGTAGTGAATATTAATTACTTTTATCATAAAGATAAATAATAAATGCTCCACATTTTTAGCCACAACCCTCCTCCCCAAGTACAGGTAAGTGTCATCCTGGCCATTTTACAGCTCATGGCTGGCCATGGTTGACATCACCCATAAGAAAACATAATCCAGGCTAAGTAAACTCTGGGTCTTCAACTTTCCCTATGGATGCCCTAGCTCTCTAAATAAAAGTGATCTAATAATAGCAGCTCCAGACCCTGCTTTCATTTCTCTGATACTGTCATCTTTTGTGTGTACACAAAGTTCACCTCACAAATGCTAATGGCCTCTGGAAAGCTTGCAGGCTTGTCGAAGAATTTATTCTTCTATGTGTGTCAAACCAAACAGACCACAGCATGCCCTTCTATAGCATTTCATCAAGCCAACGAATGGCGTGTTGGTCAGTGGGTACCCAACCTAGAACATACCAGGAATTTGTAGGTTAAAGTAGCAAGTGCAGCTATGACTTGGAACCAGCTTTGAGTAAAGGCCAGACCTCTGCTAGTTTTAACACTTCCAGGCCAATTTTATTATGGGGGGCTTAGAGGTTGGGCTGCATCTGGAGTTTGGCAGGGCAAGTGGAGAGAGCCTCACACCTGAGACAGAGGTCTGGCTTTGAATGAAAGTTCTGCCCTCACTACCTGGGCCATCTTGGACAAGCAAGGTCACCTCTTTCCCATTTCTAGCCTCAGGTAATAAGAGCTCCCTCAAAGGAGTGTTGTAGGAGGAAGAGATGTGTAAGTACTCGGTAAGCTGCAAAGTAATACACAGATGTTAGGAAATTCTGATAACTATTACTTAAAATATTATTTAACACATAAATTACAGCCACTTGGGACTCATTAAATGCATTGGAACATCTTCCTAAGCCCAGTGGGTGACCTGCCTGCTTGCAGGCTGTCCAGTTTCTTGTTAGCCACACCACTCTACTGGATCATAAGGTATGCAGATATTAAATTTTTGACTAAGTGGTACCAACTGCTCTCCCGAGTGGTGGCCCCTCCCACCCTCACCAGCTCATGCCCTCACTTGCTGTACATGACTGTGTTCATGCTCATGTGTCTCTGCATTGACACACATGTGGATCCATGATCATATTGGAGTCCTCCAAAGCTTGTCACCGAGTTAGAACTGCCTCTGTATGAGTGGCATTACACTGCTGTGGAAAGAGGATGAAGGGGAAGGCAGGGTCCCTGGGGTCTGGTCATATCCTAACTGGTGACCTTGGCCAGTGGGATGCACTTCTGTGAACTGAGAATAATTCACCTGGTTCCTGGGCTTTCTGCCCTCTCAGGACTGCTATGAGTAGTAGGGGAGATAAGCCACAGGAAGGTATTTTTGAGTCCTAGATGCACCCCTGCCTGTCCCAGTGCCACACACAGCTGTCAGGGTTAGCCCAGAGCTGCAGACCCTCTGCAGAAGCTCCTGAGTCCTGCCTAGGGGAGTGCCCTGGCCATCGGGCTCCATCCACACTTGAGCTGCCTCATGGCTGGAGCCTGGGATTCAGCCATGAGGGTGTCCATGCCTTCTCTCAGGAAATCCTCCTCTTGCACACCTCAGGCAAAGCCAGAAAGCTCCAACCTCATCCAGCCCAGCTCAGCTCTTCCCAAAGCACAGGATGGCTTTACACAGGCTGAGCTGCTGGGTGCTGTAGGATGTCTATGCTTGCAAGGCATGCTTTCAGGGAGGTAAGTGATCCTTTTCTCTTCAAGCAACAGAAAGTGACAGGAATACCTATAATCTTCCAAGGCTAAGTGAACACATGCTTTGAAAAATGTAAGTACTTGGTCATGGTCATGGGCAAGCAGCTTCACAGTAAACTTGGATACATCTCATCGTCTCCCACCTTTCAGGAAAACTAATTCATCCCAAATCCAAGAGGCCATAACAACTACCCTCCAGTCATCCTTTTTCCGGTCTCTGTGGCCTCTCCCCTTCCACCTCTCCTCCATGGCCCAGCCTCCCTCCCCAAGGGCCGCAGGACCCTGCTGCCACCCCACATGAAGCCAGGGATGGGCCTTCAACCCCCACCTCAGTCACCAGGCCTAGGCTGTCCCCGGGTGAGGGCGTAGCCTTGGGCAAAGCAGCTCTCTTCAGCCAATGTACCTCCTGGGGATTCTGTTCTGAGCTATCAGCAGCCAACAGTCCTGGGGGAGCAAGGCCCCCATGCTGGAGGGGGCCTGGGAAGCACACCTCAGTGTCTTCACAGGAGCTCTGCCTCCGCAGCCCAGCTGCCCACGGCCTCCCCCTGCATCTCCCTTCTTGGCTTTCCTCCGAACCACTTGGTCCTTTATCCTCAAAGCCCTGCGCTCCAGGCACTTCCTGCTTCAGCTCTGCCCTCTTCCAGGTCTTCTGCACCCTTCCCTGAGTGAGAGCCCAGGCCCAGGCCCTGGTGCATGTCAGCTACCTCTACATGCCAGGCTGTTATGGCCCCGCACGACAGGCTGGTCCCTATGGCAATACCGGAGAAGGTCATCTGCTGTTTGCAGGGAACAAGGTGCTACTCTTCTGTCCCTTCCCTTGGGCTTGGATCCCTGCAGGAGCCCAGTGGCCCTGGGCTCAATGACAGGCTATAGGGATGCCACTTGGCAGGAAGGTGCAGGGTCCTGACCACCTTGGCACAGAGGTGAGGTGCTCTCCAAAGGGTAAGAGCCCTGCCATACACAAGCAGCATCTTTTCTTGCCAGGGATGAAGCCATGGTTGTGAGTCTCCACTAGGATTGCCTGTTACTCAAGTGGGAGAAAAAGAATTCCATGGAAAGAGCATGGGCTTTGGACAAGGGGGACCCAAGGTGACATCCCAGCTGTGACACTTTGTTCATTTGTGCCTGTCATGGATATTTACCAAGCCCCCACAATGGGATGGATTCTGGGGTCACAGTGGTGAAGAGGGTGGGTTGGTCCCCATCCCAACAGAACTCTCCATGCAGCAAGGTTGTCTCACTGCTGCGGGTAAGTGCTCTGAGAGGGGGCCATGGGTGCACAGATTGGGGCGAGCAATGCCTCCTGGAGGACATGACAGGAACCTAAAGACATGCCCTCTGTGAGAGGGAGCATGGCTGTGTGGCCTTGAGGAGCATACGTGACCTTTCTGAGCCTCTCTCTGTCATGTACTAGAGTCCCAGCTCTACACAGGGTGCTAGCATTGTCTGGGAATGGGGAAGTTACTGAACTCTGTAGATAAATATGCGCTCTGTTCCATCCAGAGTCTGGGTGTCGGCCCCTGGTCTTTGGGCCACTAGAATTCTCATCCTTCCCAGCCACCAACTTGTCGTGTGACCCAGAGCAGGTTATTTCTGTCCCTGGACTTCACTTGCCTCTTTTATAATAGAAAGGAGTTGGGCTAGAGTCTGTAGGCCTAGGTAGGAATGAACATTCAAAAGCAAAGGCAGCAACCTCCTGTTCTAGGGAGTCATCCTGCAAGGAAACGGGAAGCTCACAGGCATAGTTTGGGTG